AAGCAGCAGGCTTTTCAGTGTTAGCCAGCAGCTGTGCAGGCCAAGCTTGCTACAGCACCTTTTCTTAAGTGGCCCTTTCACCCACAATATAGAGACAGAATTTAAAAGCATATGTGAATACTTATTTTCCTGTTCCGATTTATTGTGACAAGTTGTAAAAGAACCTAAAACTTAAAAATCTTTTTTTAGAATCGGAATGCTTGGAAATGGAATGTCGTGTGGATATCCATGATCTTTTCTTGGCAGAGTGAAAGTAGTCATTGGGTGAACGTGCCTTTCCTACGGGGAGACCTTCAGTGCTGCTAAAGCAAAACTGTCCTGTATCAGGCTGTTTTAAAAATGTTTGTATATTTCACGCGCTTAGAATTATATGCAATTGTGAGATGTTTGTAATTAGAATCGATTACGTTGTGCAGGGGGTGTTGATCTTTCAAACGGCTGTTAGCCATGTTATATGTAGACCTTAGTGAAAATGGGAAAGGTAGAAGTCAAGGTTGGGTAAGTGAATTTCAGTTTCAGTGTTGAATGCTTTACATGGTCACATTTTTCTCCGTTTTGCTTGTTTGGTTCGGAAAATGCGTATCTCTTGCGCTACTTCATATTGATTGACTTTAATGGTGGGTGAGTGTTTAAATGTGTGTCTGATATTAGTTATGTTTGTGTTGTATGAAGTGCTACATGATAATTCAGTTATATCTATTAGAATTGCAAACTGACATTATTTTTCTCATTTACCCTACACCTTTATAATAACATGCTAACAGATGTAGTTAAATGATAATTTGCTGATTCTGATAAACCCCCCTTTCCTATTGTCTGCATCTAATTGCTTCAAAATTACTGTAAGTTCAGTGTGCATGCACAATCTTATTTGCTACCAAAAAAACTGGTATGACTGTTGTACTAGGAGTGAACTTCGCTTATTACTGGGTCTTGACACCAAAGACAACATAGTGTTCATGGGGGATTTTCACTTACCACATGTAAATTGGAATATTGTGTTGGAATTTATCCATGTTTAGAATTACATGTTTTTTATGTGGTTGAAGATGTTGCTTCTTAGCTGAGTTACTACAGGAGATACTCATATTAACAAGCCAGAGAGAGTGAATGCTACAGAGCTACAGGGGGAATGTGACTGTAATATGGTAACTTTTGATGCTCACTGGAAAGGGCTCTAAAGTTTCAGACTAAAGCTAGGGTTCATAATTTTAGGGAAACAGACTGAAGAATGGACCAGAGCTCACGAACGGTGAACAGGGTACAGGTAGATGCAGAGCAAAGAGAAGCAACAAAAACCTATTAAAAGCTCAAAATGAATTCATCCCTCCATGTCCCAAGTACAGGAAAATGTGGCCTAAATGGTTTAGGGGAGAAATTAGGAAACAAAAAAACAAATCACAGAAGCATAGATTGCATGAAGGGGCCAAAGACTGGAGAAAAAAAAAGGAAAAGGCTGATCTGAGCTCTAGGCACAAGTGAAAGAAAATCTTAAAATTGTCATGAGTTGGAAAATAGTATAGGAGTGGAGGCTAAACTTGATGAAAAACGTCTTCATACTGTGAAAGAACAGTTAAAGGTAAAGTAAATACCAGTTGTTTACTCTGGTATTTATACTAGAAAATTGAAATTAAATAACAAGGGTCTTGTCTTCCACGCAGGGGAGTGAAGGAAGATGGTGGCCATAATATGGCCCAGGTTATAGAACGAGTTCCAAGAATTTTAAATAATTGTAGCATAACCGATAATGAGGTATTATAGGAACTATTGCATCATAAGCATCATAAATCATTAGGATCTGATTGTATTTTCCCAGTTTTACTGAATCAAAAGAGGGATGTTGTCCTTTTCACTCGGATATTTCAACCGTCACTAGAGATGAGATGTTTCTGAAATTGGCAGTTTGTTAAAAAGGAGGCGAGGGGAACTGAACCAGTGAAAAATAGACAAATCAGGTTTTTTTTTATTACTGACAAAACCGAGGAAACAGTCCTTGGCGCTAAGCTAGAAGAAGAGTTACAAAATTAATCTTTAAGAGAGCCAGCATGTTATTTACAAAAGTGTCTTATTTTACATTTATTGAATTCTTTGAACGAGCACCAGGGACTAGAGCAGAGCTCTAATGGGTTTATATCTAACGGGCTTATTATCCTTTTATAATAATTAAAAGGATCCATATAGTAATGTTTATATCTGTGGATTGGATGGGCTTCTCTGAAGCATACACCATGATCAATTTAATTTCCAGAAGATGTTTGATAGGGTCTTCATTAATGGTTAATTCATTTATTTCGCATTAATAGCTGTAGGAGTCCGGAGTAATGCAGGCACTTGGATTGAAAACTGATGAACAGATGTGAAAAGGCATGTCATCTCAAGGAGCATAGCCCCTAATTAGACTGATAGGAGCTATGGTGTACTGCAGGGATCCGTAGCCTGTCGTTCTTCCTGATCTATATCCATCGTTTAGATTCTGTTATTATTTATCAAGGCTGTTAAATAAGCAGAAGGAGTACAGCACAGAGTGACACAGATACTGGGACACAAGGGACACTGGGATTACAGAAGGATTTAAGATTATGGATTGAAATATTACAATGAAATTTAGCGTTGTGAAGTGCGAAGTGATCCATGCAGGAAGTAGGGACATGAGCTATCGCCACTACAGTGGTGGTTTCGAGCTGTAGGCAACCACACGCGATGGGATCTTAGTGTTTCTGTGACTCCAGCAAGACAGCATGGGGAAGCAATTAAAAAAAAGAATCCCTCCGATATCCTTTAGAAGAGTGTGTTCAGTTTTGGTCACCCAGCCACCGAATATAGACTTGGAAGGACTTGAAGGAATAGCAACAAGATTGATTCCTCCTCTCATGGATTGTCATATGCAGACAATTTTAAGGACCTAAATATCTGTTTAGTTTAGAACGAGGAGGACAGAGAGGATCCGGGTACAGTAGGTCATATTTTAAGGGGTCTTTTGGGTTGACCCCAAGGTCTAAACTCTGAAAACAAAACAAGGACAATGGTATGGGATCAAAACTGAAAATTCATTTATGACTGAATAGGAATCAGTCTTTCGGAGTCTGGTAAAGGCTGGTCCGCAGTCAGGTGGCCGAGACTCAGGAAGTTGCTGGGCCAGATTTTAAGGTGCTTAGCTACCAAATGAGCAGGATGGCAGCCTGTCTGCTGGGCTGTCAGTGGAGGAGATATTCAAAATTGCATGTAAAGCAATTTCATACTGCACAAGGCTCGGACACTGCTGGGAGTCTCTTTAAAACCTACCCCTAGAAGAACTGTGTGCAACAGCGGCTGAATAGCAAATCTCAACACAAGTGCCATTTTCTTCCTGTTGCCTAGAAAGGTAGTAACTTCTAAAATTCTGCAGTGCTTAATTTGCAGTGCAGTGCATGAGGGGCTCATTCAAGACTTCTCCACACACTTTATTCCACGGGTTTGACGTTCATGCATGTGAAATTGAAGGCCAAGAATGGAATGATGTGCCCGTGTCATTTTTTTTTAATATCAAAAATGGAAGAAAGTAATTGCAGCTGCTTAAAGCTTAGTTATTTGCAGCAGAGATGCAAAGTCACTCTTTTGTGCATTGGATCCTTCCAAGTCGATTTACTTATTTAGAGTGGAGATGTGCTCTGGGGTACTATTTTTAACACGGAACAGATGTCTCCCAAATGCTACGTTTCTGTTCAACACCCACACGGATTTCATTGCCTGGGGATTTAGGCCTCCATGACAAGCTCTGTCTCATTCGGAACATGTCATATATTTCGGATGAAAGGGGACTGAGAACTGAGGATTTGGAGAGAGTAGAGGAATCTCCTTACTGGCAGAAGCTAAAATCCAGTGTCCCCTTGTTGAATGAAACGGAACCAGACTGAACTTTTCCTTGTAATGCTGCTTGCTAGATGTTTGGCAGAATTGACCTCTTGTGTCCGATGTGATATAACAGACCTCCTGTAGATGCTGGAATTGTATTTAAATGAAAGATCAACCTAAATGTATAGATACTTTTTTCTTGTCCCCACCCCCAGAGATCTCAATCCTTGGAACTATGAAGAAACCCTAAGAAAAAAAAAATGAAACTTGACATCTAAATTTAAGTTTTTTTTTTTAAGTATAATAAATTAAAAATGAATGGAAAAATGTCCTCAGTAACCCAGGTACAGCAAGAGGGCAGCTGTTTTATTTTATACCTTAAAAGGGCACTCCTGCTTTTTGACTGTCCAGATCTGTGCCATGCATTGATTTGTATGGAGCCTAAAGTTTCCATATGTTTAAGGCTTCCTTGCAGTTAAATACTCATTGAAGAATAATTAATTTTTCCGATTCAGTTGTTGTGCTTCGAGGTCTGTATTTTATGCTGAGTGCAGTGATTTGATTTGCTCTCCATTGTTGTGCGTGGTGAGAGCCTAGCACTGAGCACTGCTCGTTTCTCTTCGGCATGCCAAGAAGCCCGGGTAGGATTAAGGACCATGTTGTCATTTCCCCAACCTTTTTATTCAATAAAAGGGCTTCCAGCACTATTATGAACTTGTGACACAAAGAGTAAATTTCTAAACGGGAAAGAGAAGACTCTTGTTTCAACAGAAGCTGCAGGTTCGGTATGACCCTTGTTTTGAGACCCGGCTCAGATGGTACTCCTGTCTTTTTAGCAGTGTAATGAATTCTGCTGTTGGCGGTGTTCAAATTTCAACCTTTCAACCAAAGAATCTTTCTCAAGGAACAAGCTCTGATGGAAGACTACATGTCTAGAGCACTAAATCAGAACTGAAAAGTCAAGGAAAATCCATATTTAGAACTGACTAAATCTTGCATGTGTTTTTCTAGAAATAGTGGAGTGCCAGGTAAGAATGACATGTTTTTTTTGTGTGTAGGGCTTATTTCATTTTACTGTTCAGTTCGATGTTGGCAGTTTTTGTCACCTTTTCTCAATTTGCTTCCTTCTCTTTCTAAATTTAGTTTTTTCTACATTTTGTTTCCTACAGACTTTGTCAAATGAGGCCCATTGTGTGGAAGAAATTCTAAGGGTGAGTAATTTTTCCTTCAGGCTTTTGTGTTTTCTTTCTGTTAACACAAGTTAAGAATGAGATAGGTCTTTGTAAGGCTCGCTTTTTTATGATTTAAACACAAGTAACCTCCAGTTATTCAGATGTTTTATTTCCAAAGGTATACATTCATCACTGCAAACTCTGCATCTTCTAGTGTCACACAAATCAGTTTGTGTTCAAGCTGCTTATTTTGGATTGCTTTTTAAAGGAGTTACTGGCCGACTCCAATTCTGCAATCGGGTGAAAATTGCATATTAAATGATGAGAATGATCATTGATCAGCACCCAAAAATATGGAAGTATTAGAAAAATTCCTTTTCCTCTCTTGCTGGGTGTTTTTTTTTTCTCCTCCCAATCATCATAGCCTGATCAGCTGAACACAGTGTCAAAATGTATGTTGAGGAAGGCCAAAGAAACAGCCCTGGGAGCTACAGTACTCCTATCCCAACTTGCAATTTATTTAAAAATGTCAGGAGACAGTTAATGTCAATCGCAGTGCAGAAGCTATAGGCTTCCTTTGCAAATAGTACATAGGAATCAGTAATGTGAAAGCACCAGGTTTGTGGAGCTTTCCCAGATGTAAAGTTGCTGTCTGAATACTTTCAGAGGGCACTGTGTAGTATGTCTAAACAAGCTCAATTCAGGTCCTGTCGTTGGCTTCTTGTGAGGAGAATACACCTTTCTCACTGCAGAAGTGCCATTTTGGTCTCTCTTGATCACTCTGGAGTCCTGTGCCATATAGCAAATAAACTTTTTATAACCCCTCAACTCCAGAGTGTAAAATGGATGTTGTCGCGTCTCTGTGGAGTCTTTTGGCTCGTAATGCTTCCTTTTTTCATTGGCTGCTGCTTTTACAGGAAATGACCCATTCGTGGCCTCCTCCTTTGACAGCCATTCACACACCGAGTACATCGGAGCCATCGAAATTCCCCTTCCCTGGAAAGGTGGGGAGTGTTTCTTTTTTGCTGGGTTCAGTAGAGGGCAGTAATATCAGGAATTCCAAACTTGTTGGGAAATGATCCAAAAAATGCAGTACAGGTTGGATTGATAGGTTGGATTGAAAAATCTACAATGCAGTAAAGCAGGTGATATCTTTTCCTCGTTAACCTGAAGATTGATACTCCCCCCTTGTTTGTCTGTGTTCGTTCATTAGTGTTGTACCATTAACTGATCCATGTAACTGGAGATACATTTGGGTTCTGTAAGACTTAATTCAATGTTCAAATTCCACCTACAAGGAAAGAATGGTTCAGACCCAATCAGCATCTTAAATTCTGCTTCAGTATTTAAAAATGGGTCTTTGGAGAACATTTAACATTTAAGGGAAATTCAGGACAAAATTTTTCAGCCTTAAGAGTTGGCCTTTGTTAAATGCGGTTCATATACAGTAGGTTTCCAAGCAGCTTGACATATGAGTGAGCCTGTTCTGGGATGTGCAAAGAGCCTTCTCTGTAGCTGCCGCAGGCCTGCAGATCGGTGAGGTGTAATGAGCGTGAGGGAAGTCTGAGCACTGAATCTGCAAGGCGGACCTGCAGCGAGCATAGCTCGCAGAAATGTGTTCGCTCTACGTAAAATGGAACTGCTACCTGATTGCAAATGAACAGGAATTTAGAATCCAGACTCTACCTCAAAGTGAGAAAGAAAGTACAGGTGGTTTTGCTTTCCAGTGTTGTACAGTATTTCCTGTACCCACATATACAGTATGTAACTTAATTCTAATGTTGCCTTTCTCCATTTAAGGAAATCCCAAAATACTATATCATTAATTTATGAGCAAGGCATAGTATAATAGGTGGAAGGTGGTTTGCAGGTGCTTTGTCATTGTACAGTAAGCCAAGCAATGTCAGTTTTCCATTAGGCTTTGAAAGAGAATAGGTGTTGTAACATTTATCTTTCTGTAGCTTAAACAAGGGAGTTGTTTTTTAAAAGAAAAATTCATTCCAAGTACAATGCCTGAAATATCTTTTACTTGTTTTTTTTGTGCTTCCAGGAATCTCAGCATGTTAATTCTGGTTTTGTGGGACAGAGTAAGTTAACATCCTAAGCTTTTTTTTCTACACTATTTTAAGCCCATGTTTGCCACCGTCTTCTTACTAGAAACCAACATGCTCTCTTGAGATGCAACTATATGCATGTTTTATGTGTCATTTATATCATGTGTCGGTGTGCATTGTCTGCACAGGAAAAAGTAAAGGTTATTTCCACACTGAAAGGGAGAAAGGAGAAAGCTGTTTCAGTATGCTTGCACCTGAAGAAACTCAACAGGCCAAACCTTTAGGAATTAACCTTTACTCGTTCCATTTTATTACACCTGGTGGTGAGCAAACCTTGTATCAAAGAATCCTGAAAAGTTTGAAGTCATTAACTACAGTTCTGAATTCTGCTGTTTTTGGCTTGGTTTTACAAAATAAGAGATGTATAAATATTTTTGGCTTTTAATGGCTCAGATTCATTATTTCTAAGTTTGCCTTGCAAAAGGTATTTAAAAATTGCCTAAAATATTATATTGAGACATTTAAAACAAAGGAAAATATTTCATTTCAAATGTTTATTGGAAGTGTCCATTCTGTAATGGTTGTGGAAACCAGCCATTAGACATTTAATTACATCTTGGGCATTTTCTTTCAGAACAGTGTGGTCCATCTCAGAAAGCACCACCACCAACCTGTCAGCAGGGATCAGCGTGAGTACTACTGTACCTTATCATGGAGTCTGTCCTTTGAGTTGGTATAGTTGATGAATACAGACCAAACCAGTACAGAAAGTGGTGACGCAGTTAAATATTTGCGGCCCTGAAGTGAGTTTTCAATGAGCCGCAACCCATAAACCACATGAACTTCTTTCATTTCAACAGCAGTACAGTACATTCTCATTAAACCCGAGTTATGCAGGGACATTGTGTTCAACAAAGTACTTCAATTATTTTTCAGCACTAAACAAAAGCCATGAGAATGAAAGAAGAAGCCTTGGGTTCAAGGAATAAACTGGGTTTTGACATTCCTTCAATTTGAGGGAGAACAGGGAGTTCATTACTTTTAATTTCTTTAATTATGAATTGTGGCTTCTTTTGGATATAAAACAGCCAGCAGATATAGAACCCTGCTACTCCCAGCTGGTGACCCAATGAAGCTCAGCAGCTCCTGGGAAAGCTAAGGTTCTGCTGGAAGAGGTGTTAGTGGGGCCAGTAGGGGGCGCTCACTCCGCTGTGTGGGTCCTAATGCCCCTCTATAGCGACGGGGACAATATGCTGTAAAAAGGAACCATCCTTTTATAAGAGATGTAAAACGGAGGTCCTGACTCTCTGTGATCATGAAAAAAACCAGTTTCTCGAAAAGACTAGAGGTGGAACCCGGTGTCCAAACCTAATTTCCCCCTGGTCTTTACCAATCATGGCCTCCTAAAAATTCTATGAACTGGCTTCTTCACCAGCTATCAGTGAGGAGGATGAATTCTCCTCCTCACTGATAGCTGGTGTGTGGTAAGTGTACTGGCGCACTGTGTTCAATAATTTGTTCCGCACTGTAAATTCAGTGAATGTACAATATACTGGTGCAGAACAGTGGCACGGTGATTAGCCACCAGTTGGGTTTGGGAATTGAACCAAGTGATTGAGTTAAATTCTGGTCCTAGGGTGCTGTCTCTGTGGAGTTTGTATGTTCTCTCCCTGTTCGTGTGGGTTTCCTACCACAGTCCAAAGACAGACTGGTAGGTTAATTGTGTCTGTGTGCCCTGTCATAGACTGGCACCCTGTCCAGGGTGTACTCTACCTTGTGCCCATTGCTTGCTGGGATAGGCTCCAGCTCCCACCTGACCCTGAACTGGATAAAACGGTTAAAAGATGGATAGATGAATGTGCACTGCGCTGACTTTCATATGTTTAATTTTTTGTTTGTAGCCGTTTTTAAATAGCATATCTTACATGCTTTTAATTAGGATCTCCATGCACAGAGCTCATACCCCCCAGCAGTACAGAGATCTGTGCTGATTCTTGCTGTCTGGTCTCAGTGTTCATAGGTTGTGAGTATCCTCGGAAACATTTACAAAAGGGAGCTGTATCTGTTGATGGTTAATCTTTAGATGAAGCCTGAGATGCCGAAATACTGCTGATTAAATCCCAAAGAGATTATTTTCTTTCTATGCTGTCAGCTGAAAATGTAGAACAAGAAGTCCTGCAAATATTGCACTCGAGGTTTTTTCAATATTTTCTTTTTCTGTATCTCAGCAGAAGTTAGTTTTCTTTCTGCTTTTCACATGCATTACAATGACTTTATTGACATTGTTCAGAAGCTCCACAGACGGCAAGACTGAGGTTAAGGTGTGTAAGACAACTGTTTGCACTTTCCATTGATTTTCTTCTGTCAGGGGGGATGTTGGTGTGTGAGGTGCACAGCTCGTGTGGAGCCGCAACATTCCTGAACGATGGGTGTCAGCGGAGCTGCTGTCGTACACTAGTTTCTCTGTGGTTACCAGGCCAGTGACTGTGGAAAGAGTCACATGCTGTTCTGCCTGGGGCCAAGCTGGGTTCCCTGTAGCTCCTACATGAATGAAGCTAATTGCCCATGAGTTCCAGCATGTCAGGGATGTAGTGTGATAGCGTGAGCATAGAGAGGTGTTGCTATTATGTGTTAAAAAAGTGGAAAGCAGATTCAAGCCTTTATTAAATATGTGTAACATATCAGCACTTGACATGTGGAAGAGAGTCTGCTTTTTCACTCAGTCTCATCGGTATTGAACAAGGAATCTTGGAAGAAATGAGGCAGACATGTGAAAGCATTTATTTTCATTAGAAGCAGGGCAAATGAGATGTCTTATAAGTGCTTTTTCAAAAAAGAACCCAAGCCCTGTATGATAACATGCATAATGTAACTCGGTGCGGAACAGTAAGCAGGGTTCTGCTTAGAATAAGAATTTTAAGAATATCAGTAGTTTTGGTGTAAGCCAGCAGCCATATCACCCTGCAACTCACAACTGGCAGCCCACTAAAGCTCAGCAGGTGTGAGCCTGGTCAGTACCTGGATGGGGGACCTCCTGGGAAAAACTAAGGTTGCTGCTGGAAGAGGTGTTAGTGGGGCCAGCAGGGGGCGCTCACCCTGAGGTCCATGTGGGTCCTAATGCCCCAGTGTAGTGATGGGGACACTATACTGTAAACAGGTGCCGCCCTTCGGATGAGACATAAAACCCCCGGCGTCCTGGCCAAAATTTCCCATTGTCCCTTACCAATCATGGCCTCCTAATCATCGCTTCATTACTCTGCTCTCCTCCCCACTGATAGCTGATGTGTGGTGAGCGTTCTGGCGCACTATGGCTGCCGTCGCATCATCCAGGTGGATGCTGCACATTGGTGGTGGTGGAGGGGAGTCCCCATTACCTGTAAAGTGCCTTGAGTGGAGTGTCCAGAAATTATATTTGTCCTGGACATTATAATTATTATTAATGTATTTGATTAGTGAGTTCCATGGATGAGAAGGTTCTGTTACCTGCTCTTTGGTAAAGTAAGAAGGCTCAGATCACCAAATGTCAGATTAGGAGTTGGATTAACTTTGTGCAATTAACCTTTAACGTTTCCTGGAGCTAAACCATTTTGTGCTTTGTGTGAGCAGGAGAACCTCCCTGCTGGAGCTTGTACAGAATCATTTATTAGCATTTGTTTCCATTTGAATTTTCAATAACCTTTCACTCTGTGTTTACGATGAAGAGCAAAACCTTGGTTACTGGAACTATTCTGCAGGAACTGTTAGTGCATGGAAAAATCTAAATTGAATAAATCAGTTGTGATGAGTATTTTTTCCAGCAAATTAATTTTAAAGATCAAATTGTGTACTGCAGAAGGGCTGAGCGACAAAATGGCAAAGGTTTTAAAGGTTGCATTCAATTTAGATTTAGCTTTGTTTTTGAGGGTAAAGCTGTGATTGTTTTGTTTTCTAACCATGAGTTTATTTCTTGACTTGTGACACTAAGATTAAGGTAGGAAGGTAGGTCCCCTTTCAGGCCATAAAGGCCCATTGGGGAACTGGGGGCAAGGGCCACCATTTTTCTCCACCATCTGACACAGGAGGTGGAGGTGATGTGGTCAGCATCACGCTCCGGTCTGCCTATTACCCCCAGAAGGCTACATCGCTTGCCCCCTACCTGGGATTGAACCCGGGACCTTCTGGGCAGGAGCCAGACAGCCTTGCCCTCTGAGCTACCGTGGCTCTTTCTAAGATTCAGAATCTTTCAGATATTGATTGGACCTTCAAAATCTGAAAATCGAACATAAGAAACATGTTTCCATCCATCCAATACAGGGTTAAAGGGGAGGCAGAGCCCATCCCAGCAAGCAACGGGGCAAGGCAGGGTAATTCCTGGGCAGGACACCAGCGCATCACAGGACACACACACTCACACCAGGGGTAATTTTCCCAAAAGCCAATGATCCTACCGGTATGTTTTTGGACCGTGGGAGGGAACCAGAGCACCTCGAGTAAACCCATGTGAACACAGGGACAACTCCTCGCAGACAGTACCCCAGGTCCAGAATTGAACCCAGGGCCCCAGCGCTGAGAGGCAGTGATGCTAACCTCTGAGCCACTGTCCCGCTTTAATATTTATTCATTTTAAAATATAATAAAAATTATTAAATAGGTGTCAAAACACTTATAAGTAGCAGGCCCTTCATATTGTGTGGCGCCTCAATGGTTTTCAAAGGAAAACTCTTTCTAGGGCTCGTGGGTGAAATGATCTGTCCTCAATAAGGGCTGTCGATTGTGTATTACATCAACAGCTGTCCTTAAATAAAGGCTTTAAGCATTTATTTTTTTATAAAAGGGCTTCCCGGACTTTTCTGCAACAACCACCTCTTTGTGTTTTCAGTGCGACCTCTCTGACCCCTCTCTAACCTCCCGTCTCTCACCAGTGCTCGTGCAATTGGATATCGGGGACGCAAGCTTAAGCTTGTGTGGGGTTTTATTAGAGGAGAGAGTCCCTGTGAACTTACACATGTGTATTTATAGAGAACCCCGGAAGGCTCAGATGAGCAGCCTCTCTAAAGGATAGAGCTAATTTAGTTGTCAACTCCTTGGAGATTGACTTGCACACCTGTTCCCCCACTGTGTGCGCGCTGCGTGAAATGTCACTTTTTTTATTTTTGAAAACAGTTTGATCAAACCGATAGAGGGGTTATTTTCTAGACTCCTTAATCTTGACTTCTAGATGGAATATTTTTTGTATTTGGTTTTGTCTGCTGTTGAGTGTTTTAGTCATGTGCTTGGCTGTTAGCACAGACTCCTTAAGGGATTGGCAGGGTGTCGCAGGTGAGAAATAAACATTCTGTTTCCTTCACACCAAACAAAATACTAAGGAAAAATAATGCCTTAGTTACGATGGTTCTCTTTGTTTGGTTTAGAAGATGACCTTTCCAAGAAAGAGATGTAACCTCTTTAGTACAGAAAATGGCAATTTTGAATAACCCTTCACAAGATTAAAATTGCCAGATGTGAGCACAAAAAGACACTGAAGAGTTTGTTCAATTGTTTCACTGTTTTTTTTTTAAATAATGTGTTGTGGTTACTTCCAGACACTCTGATGTTTCACTACTAAATATTTGTAAATGTGAGGAAAGCATTCAGCTTGGATAGTCTCAAGACGTAATCCTACGTCGCATACACTTGTCAATGCACAGATAAATTCTTTCAGCACTGAGCCCGTGAATTAGAGCAGTTTCTATTTAAGTCTGAAGTTATAGTCTTTCTATAGTTACGCCTTTCAGGGGGGGATGACTTGACCTTACAGGGAGTAGCTGTGGTCCAAGATGCCAGCTGTCTGAACCTGCTGTTCCTTTCATACTGAGTAACAGTAGAGCAAAGCTAACCTGCCTCATGACAGTGGCCCAGCTCACAATTGCTCTTAGTGGGTGAACAACACTTGGTGAACACTGTGAACGCTGCTTCACAATGATGGGAGCAGCATGATATTGTAAGATGTTGATACGGCTGCCATGAGCCACTTACGTCCTTGTGCAGTATTACTACCATTTCATTCAAAACAATCATCCAATGTGATAGAATACAGCAATCTTACAGACGGGAATTCTAATTTCAAACAATTGTCTTGAAATCGCAAGCACGTTTTGATTGTCTTCAATACCGTTCAAGGCAGTTGAATGATGATTTGCGAACGGACAGGTTTTTTTTGGTGCCGACGCATTAGAAATGCCATCAAGCAGTTTAAGCCGTTTGGCAGAGTTAGCCTCCAACACTTAGCGCAGCATTTTTGCATTGTCCCTTTATCGCTGAATTCCCACGATATTACATGTCCAGGTGTGTCGTCACTGGAGAAGAATCTGTATTCCTCTGGTTGTAACGGTTTCATTTTGACCGTCTTCCATTGGCTGGAGACGGGATGAAACTGCGAGGTCAGAGGTCATGCCGTCGGGCCCAGCCCACGCACCTTCCTTGACAAGTCTCTCGGCCTGCTCACTTGTCCCCCTCCCCTCCCTGTAGGGCTCCAGAGACCAGCGGCGTGGTGCTGACGCATTCCAGCGGGGGGGAGTCGGCCAGCTCCAGCGAGTCGGAGAGCACCTCGGGCTCGGAGTCGGAGAGCGAGAGTAGCTCCAGCGACGGCGAGGAGGCTCCCCAGCCCCCCAGGAGCAGCCCGCCGGCGCCCGAGGTAACTCGCTGGCCTCAGCTGCCGTGTCTGGTTCAGCGCCGTGGCGGCGGCGGCATTCTACACAGTAGGCGGTCAGATGCGGCAGACGGCCAAGTGGACATCCCCAGGCCACCCGGCTGTGCTGGTCCAGGGTGGCCGGCTGAGGAGAAATCCGGTTCTGCGACTCGGTCGCCAAGGTTAGGGTTCAGTCCTCAAAAGAAGTCGTCGCTTGATCCGGTGGGAGGTCAATCCCCGAGCTTGGCAGTCATTATTTTTTTCAAACCTAGAATTGATTGTTGTGGTTAGACCGATTTTAACTTCTGAATGACCTCGCCTCACAGGCCGTCGTTAAACCCTCTTGCCCAGCCTTACGCATCGCTACAAAATCTGCCGGAACTGGATTTAAACACAGTACGTGGGGCTAAAACGTTGCCTCTTGGCGCGGCGCAAGGAATGTGGCTGGATGATTCCAGAGGAATCCCGGTTGGTGGGATCCTATTGAAAATTGGGGCGGGGGGGGGAAATTGAGAATGAAGAAATGGCATTTCCTGATTGTGAGCCGTGATTTCATTTCGAAGCACAGTCTTTTTCTAATTTCTAAAAACGGGGATGTTAAAGCGTGCCTGCTTGAGAAGGCAGCCGGGCAGGCCCTGCAGTCTCTTCCAGCGCTAGGTTGAAGGTACAGAGAGAACTAGGTCAGCTCGCCTGTCGGAGAACAAAGAAATGACACAGCTGTCATTTGGAAACAATTGCACGTTCTCATGGTAACACGGAACCGAGAGAGGGCAAGATTCCCGTTGCATGTGGTTAGTCCAGCTGACTGGCTAGAAGTCCGCTTCACAGTGCGCTAGCGATTGTTTTGGCTCAGATTGTGTTTTTTCTTTTAAACTGTTCCAGGGGCCTCTGTTGTGTGTCATTTATTCTTTCAGGATTAACTTCGCGTGCAAAATTGTCATGCTAGCCTTTTTTCATTGTCAGGTCTTAAATATGAGATTTAAAAAATAAAGGGTGCGCATTCAGCACTCCCTCTCCTTAAAGGCTAAAGTAAAAGCCTTCAGACATTTCTAGGACACCTGTGACGGGAAATTTAGGCCCGTAATTTCAGGTAAGTTCTGACCTTAAAGCTGGCCTAAAGGAATAAGATTAATGCTCAAAAAACAAATTGAATACCATCACTTTGTTCCTTACCAAAAATTACATATAAATGCCTTCTTGTCTTCTAAATCTAAAGAGAATTCTTAAACAAATTTGTATTTTCAGTCAGATAAGGCTTTAGCGCGTATAGTAACATGTTTGGAATCAAATACTCTTTTCCCATTCATAACCCCCTCGGTTTATTTATTTTTTTCTTTAGAATGAGAAGTCGAGTGTCAACAAATGGCAGCTGGACTACTGGTTGGTCAAAGTCAACCAGCAGAACTCGCACGCCGACAGCCAGGGCGACCTCGTCCCGAGCACCAGCCCGGAGACCAAGCAGCACGGAGGGGAGGAAGGTAGCCCCGCGGAGGGGTTCAAGCCCAAAGACTCCTGCCCCCCGTCTGAGCTCAGTGACGGTGAGGCCAAGGGCACCCAGGAGGCTTCTGACCATCCCCCTCCCAGCCGGAAGTCCCCAGCATGCATTGGGGCGGCGAGCCAGAAGCAGCCTGCCGGCGGGAAGCAGCCTCGCAAGCCGGCAAAGGTCCTGCTGCCCGAGGGCAGCCGGAAGGAGGAGAGCGGCCGGCTGTCGCCCCGGCGCAAGGACCCGCCCTTCACCGAGAAACCGAAGGTCAAGACGAAAAACCGCCGCGACGGGAGCGGCGCCCAACCGGAGGAGACCCACAAGTCCGCGAGACGCGCGGCTTCCAGCGGCAAGAACTGCCGAGAGCCGGCCTCGAAGCGGACGCACTGCGAGGGGGTGGGGGAGGGGGAGGGCGCCGCCCGGGCCCCCAGCCCGAAGTGCGAGAGCCGCCACCCCTCCCTGTCGGTAAGGACTAGCGCCTGCCTGGCGGCGCCGGAGCCCAAGGGCGGTGCCAAGAGAGGCAAGGCGCCGCCGCCGCCGCCGCCGCCTGCTGAGGCTGGCGGTAAGGAGGCGGCTCCCCGCGCCATCGCGGAGCCTCCCCGTACCCTTGTGGTCAAGATTGAGCTCCGGCTGCTGTCCAGGATCCCACAGCCGGCAGGCCAGCCGGGCAAAGCGGCCCGGAAGAATCGCGGCGTGGACAGGAAGAGGCAGGAGCCCGGGAAGGAGGAAATGGTCGCCACTCCCAAAGTCCCCAAAAAGAGACCGGTTGGTCGATTTTGCCTTTGTCTTGTTAGCTGGATGTCAGCTTCTTTGTTGTTATAGGCCTCCAGTACTCTCAGCCTTAGTTTGCTTTCAAGCTTGGTCATTAGTCACCTGGTCACCTACCTTTATCTTTTTTTAACCTTGAAGTTTTTTTTTTTTGTCCTCTTACAAATTTCTTGTCCAGACTTCTTCTTGGTTAGGACAAGGTCTATTGTTCTTAGCTTGTTGAATGTTGTATGTCTGGGGTTTTGAACCACAGGAAAAATATTGTGTACGTTGTCTGAACCAGATTTATTCATGCTGGTTTCATTTCAAACCCGTTCCTGTTTCCTTGGTCTTGGAAACAATGTGAATAATAAATAATAAGCTTTATTTAATAAAAATTGTAAATTACAATTACAAGAAAATTGATTGTTAATACAACACAATCAGTTAGAAGTGCAGCAGAAGTTAGAAGATGGAGCAGAACCACACATCAGTTTAATGAAAGCTTTTAAGAAGAGAAGGTGGTTTTGAGTCTGGATTTAAAAGACCTCAGAGAAAGCGGATATCCCTGATATCCTTAGGGATAGAATTCCAAAGCTTTGGGACGTAGCAAGAAAAAGCCCTTGTCTCCTATAGAATGTAAGCGAGCTTGGGAGACAGGAGGCCAGAGTCGGAGGCACAAAGGTTTCGAGGTAGGGAGTAGACAGTTAATAAGTCAGATAGGTACTGAGGTGGCAAACTGCAGTATATACTACTTGTTCACCCTCACTGCAGCTCTGCTGTAATGGGTGTATTTGGTAATTAACTGGAGTTATTTTTTCTGTTCCCTTTCATGTTTTTAGGTAACTCGGTTCACTTGTGTTCACACTGAATTAATCAAGGGAACTCAGTTTTCACATTGGATATTTATATGTATTATATATTTAGTTGCATTGCGATATATTCTAAGGTAAAGTGGGACATCACTGCGTGCCTAGGCTTCATTGTTGGTGTTTGTTCTCCAGAGGCATCCATCCCATTTAACAGGAACTAGGTTTTTGTCCTGTTTCAGTGAAACATATTCTTATATGTTTTGAATAAATGTCCATTCTGCTGAAAAAAATAGGCCTATTTATAAGGACGTCTCATTCGCTACTGGAGAAAATACGTATGCAGCCATGAAAAAGTCAGATTATAGTTGTTGCAGGACTGCAGTACACAATAAACTGGTGCTGGGAGAATTGGAGACCAGTGTGGCCTGTACACCAAAGCTCACAACACTTGTGATGAGTAGTGAAAAGCAACCCCTTGTATTTCTCAATGAACAGATTCTTAGGGAAACAGTCAACGAAAGGCAAGTCTAAAAGATTGTGACAAAAACAAAAAACCCTGTACAGTACATGCCCTGTTAAATACATTTTTCGTAGCCTTTTTTCCTCAGAGGCTGAAAAAGAAAGGAGTTTCAACCAGTGCAGCCTCATAGTAAAAAAGCTATGCATTTTATTATTTTAGAATATTTGCCGTCTGTCCATTTAAGGGAAATTGCTGTCCCGATTTCTCAGACCGGTTATTAAATCTCAGTAACTAAATTAATTGAGATTTGCAAGAGTAAGTAAGTCGCCCTTCCTGCTCACTAGTCACTGTAATGACTAATGTGATGTACAGGTTGTGAGCATTACAGTGACTAGTGAGCAGGAATGGCTGCTTTACGTTGCAATTTGTTAGAACTCAAATGCGAGACTTTTACAAAATGTGTTTTTTTTTTCTATAACCTCAGTGAATTTATTTTGTTATCAAGATTTTAATAACCAGTTTGAGAAATTGGGACTGCAGTTCCCCTGTAACCAACTATGAGACAATGTTATATAATGGAATCAAAGCATCATTTCAGAAATATAGTATCGTTCTTAAAAGAGTTTGGTTATGTCATTTCATCAGTGTCAATGCTGTCGTGTCAGAAGAAATGGTAAAGAGTTTGAGGAGCTCTTGTTTCTGAGGTGGTGAAACACTCTTAGATCACTAGCTGCATAAAAACATTGTGAGCAGAATGCACATGTGTCTGAAGCAGTGTAGACTCTGCATTTATTTTATACCTGAGTATACCATTACATATCTTAGATACACTGGAGGCATTCTCAGGTTATGAGCTTCAAGATTCTTATTCTTTATAATATACATTTCCTTTTGAATGTAATAATAGGTTTGCTCTAATGTACATACTGACTTATATAAATAAAGGCTTCTTTTTATAAGTGGGTATTTCTGAAGCTTTGGATACAAATGGAAAACAACCCAATTAATTTGCTTAAAAGCCTTTTTTTTTCCCCCAATGAGTTTAACCTGTAGCAGTTTGCTTTATCTGTCTCTGTTCTCATATTTTATGTGTAATGCATTAAGGCTGTTAGTATTTGCTTGCTTTTATTATCATCATCCGTTTTTCTGTGAAAAAGAAAATGTGCAAAACACAGAGTTGAAAATAGCTTTTTTTTTTTGTAGGCCGAGCCAGATGGAAAATCACTGGAAAGAAAAAAACCGAAGCTGGATAAAGAACTCAAGCCATCATCTTCACATCGTAGCTCACATACAGCCAAGTTAGTAACCAGAAACCACATCATGTTTTCCTTCTCTTAGTCCCAGGGATTCACTGCATTCCTCTTAATATTCCTGTTTATATTCCTCCAAACAAAAAATAAAATTCTCATTTTAATTAGACTTATGCGGGTCTCTCTCAAAACGTAGAATGTATCAATAGTATCCTTATACATTTTGCCAGGACATTACTGTCACTGTCCAGGCAGATAATTTGGTGCCTTAAAGGAGGCTGGCAGCCTCTTGAAACTTTCCTCTCCAGCTGGTGTTTGCAGTGCTTCATGAAAACTTGGAGCAGTGTTCTGCCCGGACCTGCAGAGCAGCCGGTGACTCAGTTGTAAGGTGTAATAAAGTCAGCAACCGCAGAAGAACAGTTTCTCCTTACTTGCAAGCTACCACCTTACAATTATGTTTTGCATTATCTGATGTTTTCCTCATTCTTCCAAGCCTCCTATTTTTTCCCGGTGGCCTAAAGACACAAATGAGCCTAAGGAAAACGATAGCGACTTTCGTTTGTGGCTGTTTTGGCCCATCCAAATCCTGTCCCTCAGTTAATTATGGAGGTACAGTAGGTACTGTACTTTATTAATCCCATGCGGGAAATTCAGGTGCTACAGCAGCCAGGCACAATCAACACCGTACAGTACAAATATAGTAATACAATAAATATATTTTTTTTAATGGAATAAAGAATTAACAAAAAAAAAACCAGAAAAGGCACACACAAAAAAAAGGATTTGCACTTCCCCAGCATGTTGCACTGGGCAGCATGTCTGGAACACATTACTAAGAAGAGAGCTTAAAACACACCTCCCCTTGCTTGCTGTTTACGTGCTGTGGCTCACATCAAGGAGTGGATTGATCCCTCATGTAAAATACCGCTATTCTCCATAACACTAAAACAGGGGCTACTGCTACGCCTCATGGGTGGTGAACGCGGAGCTGCTGAATTAGACGGCCCTGAACACGTAATCCATAACAGAATAGCACATGAAACACACAGGATAAATTGAACTTGGAGCTTTAGCACTATTGTATAGAATTGTGAATTGGATAGCAGTGTTGTGACCCTGTAAGGTGGTCTCAGCAGATCGGGCAAAGCTAGATCAGTGCTGGTTGGGAGGCTTCCAGGGAAAACCAGGATGTGGCTGTAAGCATGGTGGCCTGACCAGTAGGTGGTGCTGTTCCTTCTGGACCTGACAATTTCCAAATCGGAACACCGTATGATAATGTCCTGTAGGAGGTGCTGTGTACATTAGATGAGGTTTGAAGGTTTTATTTTGATTTGGACCAGCCATCTGCAACACCCCCCCGAGTAAATGCGCCCTATTGTGCTTTTAATGTGTAAAATAAAACCTGAAGTGTTACGGCCAGTTAGCCTGTGTATTTGTGGGATAGGAAACCCCCCACCCCGTGGAAAGTACCTTGGAAGTCGAGGCTTACTGCCGTCTCGCGTTACAGACTTGTAATCCATCGCGCTGGAGGTGGCCGATGTCTCAGTCGAACATGTCTTCTCCCGGTGCTGTCGGTAGGCTGCCGAAGTGCGGCGCGGGGAAGGAGAAGCGGAAGGCGAAGGCTCCTGTGCCCCTGGCTCAGGAGCCATCGAGAGGGGCAGGCCGCAAGAGGCAGAACAGCGAGAGCGGCACCGCTAGCAACGCCAAAGACACCGGCCCTGCCTCCACCAAGCACAAGAGGACCACGGGGGAGCGAGCAGAGCACCCAAAGAGCGGCAAGGTGAGCCCCACCGACTTCTCTCTCGCCGGTCGCCCAGGCTGCAGTGGCAGAACGACACCGACTCCGGAGTGCTGAAACGGGAGCCCTTTCCCTTGTAGGAAATCGCTCCTTACTCGCGGGTAACGTGATTTCTGGGAGCGATTTGACCTGTCAGTTCGGGCTTTTCTCCTGGGATAAGCCTTGGTTTGGAATGACGAGCAGATCTGTGATCCGGAGCCAGAGCGGTAAGCAGGGACTTCAGCGTGGAGCAGTGGTTAGGGCTCTGAACCCGTCGCTGGAAGGTTTGAGGGTTCGAATCCCAGTTGGGGCACTGCTGTTGAGACTTTGAGCCAAGTACCTCACTCGGGTTCCTTCAGTACAGTTCCCAGCTGTGTAAACGCACAGTATATAGATTCAGATTATTCAGATTCAGATTATTTGTCTTACGATTTTGTCACAACTAGGAAGGGAGTCCAGTAAAGAATGTGCTTATGTTGTGATGTTCCCTATGACAGGTCCAGGAATGCCAATAATAAAAAGTGATGATAAATCTGAAAAAAAAACAGCTGTCGGAAAGGCAAAAAGTGAAGAAAAATGTCATGAAATAATTGCAGTAAACTCATCAGGACTAGGAGGTGAACTGTGTACCTCCTTGATGCCTCCAGAAAGTCTTTGTCTTATAAAACATTTTATGACATAGCATAGGTTGTTTTGATGGTGTGAAAATAAGCAATTGAGGAAGGTTTAATATTAAAATGGCATAAAAGAAGGCTGTCTGGATTGTGGCATGAAATGCAACCTTAAACCGTATTCGATTAAAAAAAAAAAATTGCTATAAGCCTAAGGCCTGTGTATTGAAACTATGTAAAATCATGTGAAATTAAAATGAATGAATTAAAAGCATCATTTTTTTGTCCTTTTGTAGTTACAAAGAAACTTGGTGACGCATATTTAAAAGCTTTTGGAAATCGCACCCGCTTTTGTATACTTCAAAAAATACATTTTATAGAGCTTTCGGAGGACGCCGGTCCAAATTTTTTTTCTTTTTTTTTTTTCCCCTTATTGCCAGTTATTTTCTTAAGCCCCCCCTCAAGCTGGTCTCTCCAGTGGCCCGCTTTGTCTCAGTGCACAGCACGGACTGTCTCTGTACCCACGTGGAGGGGATGAGAAAGAGCGAACGGATTCCCCTGAGCTCTCCAGCCATTTTTGGCGCGTCGGAGGCTCCTCAGCGATGTACAGGAGGTGTGACGCTGATGGGAGCAAATGTGCGGCCCTCGCTGTCACCGCGGCTGGCCCGCAGGGGGGCGCCGTTTCACTGAGAGCCAGCTGACTAATCGCAACCTCAGCCCTGGCGGCACGGAGCCAATTATGAGCTGCTACCTGGGGAACCCTGATGGCAGTTAGTGTCCTGGCCCTCACTGGGGGTATCTGACTCAGAGTTCAGGCTGTGCTAGGCGCGAGCATCTTTACCGACCTGAGCTGAATGGCAGCACCGATGAATTTTTTGTTTGTTTGTTTCTCTTCTCCCAGAAAGCCACACAGAGCAGCTGCCCACCCTTCCCAGTGCCTTCGTTGCCAACAGGAACCTCAAAGCCATCCAGACCATTGCTGAAGTTTGATGACAAGTAAGAACAACTAACTGGTGTGCTTGTCTTAAGAGCACCTCTGAAGAGTTACTGCTGTGTAATTCGGCATCTTTGTCGCACTTTGATGCCGACATACTGTATCTATTGCCATGGCCGAAGTGTTCACCTTTCTACGAAGTGGGGGGAGGGAATGAAATACTGCATTATAGCAACTGCCAGCTCACAGGATAGTTCATTTGTGAGCTTGCCTCAGGTTATTTCTGAATGAGGTAAAATGACGAAGCAAACTAGTTTAAGGAGTCTTTATGAAGATATTTTGATGCGATATGAGAGGAATTTATTGTGTTCTGACATCAGAACGTTCTTAGTCCCTGGTGCTTGCTGTGCTCTTTAGGATTAGCATATATGTTCCAGAACGACAATTCTCACAGAATGAAAATGTAAGGCGACGCAGTTTAATGCCCATTATGAATATATTTTACAGGCAGTATCCTGTAGAACATTACATGAAGGAAGCCAAGACATTGAAGCACAAAGCTGATTCCATGGTGGGTCACCTGTACTGTATATGTCATGTACCATTTAGGTACAAACAAATAAAGTCTTTCTTGTATTGCAGGTAACGCAGCTGCACCTGATCAGCAGCTTCAAATCGGAATTAATAATAATAAGAAGAAAAAACGTTATTTTATATAACGCCTTTAAAGGTGGCTTCTCAAAGCGCTTGTATCCAAATTGTCATCCGAAAGCAATGACGCTCAACTGCACAACCCTTTTCCCCCAAATCCAGTGGTAGCATTAAGGATGGACAATAAAAATTAAACAATATACATGAATTTATTTGACAAAACCTGTATATTAGGAGATGCCAGTAAATTAATAATTTGAGTCCTGTAACATTAAGAACTCAAGTTCTGCCATAGTTGCAAAAACTGGCTTGTTTCTTTTCACTGTTGATATTCTTGCTGCCTATGTTATGTTTCACAACACTTAAAAGTTCTGAATGCTTGTTTTGACCTGTCTAAAATGTGAGCACTTAGAAATGTAAATGTATTCATCACTTATTGCAGCCACAATAAGCTGGAACACCGCTACAGTGCATTAAGACACAGTACATAGTATATTTCTCGTATTACAAAATGTGTTTGTGTGAGCACAGCAGTGCATAGAATAGGACCACCATCTGAGTATAACATTGTCAATATGAGAGTAGCTCATGAGGGAAAGCCAGAGATTCAGAGTGTTTTCCAGAACCAAACTAAAAAGTCCAGGACAGTGCTGAGGGTCAGTAGCATTGGTCATTTACTTTAGTCTACTTTAATGTGGACTAAGTACTTGCAGGTTTCACACTCTGGGGAAAACATTTGTGCGACTAAGGGGGAACATTAACTGGCTTTTCTGGGGATACGAGGATAGGAAATACTTATGAAGCTAATTGATTATTAATCTTCTTCCAAGGCGGACAAAACCGAAAAAGCTTTCAACTACCTGGATGCTGCTGTGTCCTTCATCGAGAGTGGAATCGCCATGGAGACAGATCCCCAGACCCCAAAGTCTCCATATACCATGTTCTCTGAAACCTTAGACCTGATCAGGTGAGACCTGCACACGCATCCCTAGTTTGAGCTGGTGGTCACACAAGGCTCGGGGGAATATGGCCCACCATGCCAAGCAACATCAGCCACGCAATTTCAGCAACGAATGTTAAAACAACGAGTAAAGGTTTCTTCCCCGCTGGAAAGAGTAGAACAGAAGCACAGGTTTCGGGTGTGGGTACACACAGTAATTGCACACCTGAAGAAGGCTCCACAGCCCGAAACCTGGTTTTCCTCATTTCGGCGGGGAATAAACCTTTACTCATTTCTTTGCAGCCTGCTTGAACGTCAAAAGATATTTAAACTCGGAAAGCAATGGCGTTACCCGCCGATAACACTGTGATGCGTTTTCTTTTTTCAGATTCATACTGAAGCTGAAAAACTTTGTTGACCCTTCTGCTCTGGCCCGTGAGAAAGACTTTGCGGTTTTATGGTAAATATTTCTTTCGAAAAAGAAAAAGAATAGTGATGGGTTTTTGGGTTTTAATTTTAGATAAATATGCCTATAGTGACCAGTGCTTTTCAACATGCCTAATAAATTCCTTCATCATGGCTTTATAATCAGCATATTCCTAGTTCCTAGCCATTCCTAGTAATTAACTAATTAAAACATTAATGTACTGAAACATTAAACACTTAATTCAGGATTAAACACTGAGAGACTGACCATTTGTTTTTCCTTTTTTCAGCATGCGCTGTCAGTCCCTTCTGCAGATGGCCATGTTTCGATACAAAAGGGAAGCAGCGCTGAAGTATTCTAGGACACTTACCGAGCATTTCAGGGTAAACACTGGAAGATCTTTTTACATTTTAGGGCAAATAAGAGTTTTCCAAGATGGTCCGGTTAAGGCTATCTTTTAATAAAACAGAATGAAAGCCTCAAGTTTTAAAAAAAAACAACCCCCTGGGGCTCTATTATGGATAAATTTGTGGTGAGATTCCTTCATTGTAACAGTATGTTTTTCTAGAAAATTCTAAGAGGTGCTTGTATACGGTACCTGTAAATATAACACCGTTCTGTGTCAGAATCTGTCAAGTGGGAATGTATTTTCTCCAAATAGCAGTAGGATTAGATTGGTGTGTCTGCTTTAGAGGTCACAAGGTCATGTTTCTTCATTTCGAGTAGAGCAAGGCGAGAGCACATCTTCCTCCAGAAGGCCAGTTGTTGGAAGTGTAACTTTATTCAGTCATCTGGTGATCCTGAAGGGGTGCGAAATGGTATTTAATATTGTTGTGTGTCAAGGACGAGAGGTTAAATTGACTCTATTAATTCGTGATTCCTTAACAAAGAAAGTCAGCCACCCTACATTCTGCACTTGTGACTGAAACTGCTAGATAGAAGGGAAAGTTCAGCTATTTGTAACTCGGCTGAATGGAGAGCAGATGGCTCCACAACGATATGGGGCTGGATTTTCCCAAAGATGACTGGCGGCTCTGAGAAACGTATTTCATATCGAAAGGAGAGGTAGTAAAATAGCATGAGAATTGCGTTGAAAGAAGCAAAAAGATAGGAAAGGGAGGTACAGCTTAGATTTCCTCTCGACATGCCTGAAAACTCAGGGCAGGTAGCCATATCTTTTATATTCACCAAACTGTATTGCTATATTCATTCTTATTTTACTTTCTTTAATCCTTGTGGCAGAGTTTGTCGTTTGTCAATTTGCATGCATTTTTATTAGGGAAGAAAGGTCATCTCCATTTTAACACCAGTGAAAGTTACTCATGTAACTGACAGCTGTCCTTCTACCCTTACACTGCTTTACTGTATGTCCACATTGGGATGTATTAGGGGTGGTCAGTGTTATGCATCTTGTGGGGAAAAAAGTGATATGTTGGTCTCTTAACGCATCACTGCACTTGAAATTTAATAGTGTTAAATATTTATGTGGTTGGTGGGTTTGTAACTGCAAGTCAAGACGGGGGGGACCCACATCAGGTGGGTATAAAAGAAAGAATTGTATTGAATTAAAAGGGAAGATGTAATATAAATTCAGAATCACCCATGTTACGTCGATAGTTATATACAGTATACTGAGAGCCATTAAAAACGCAACAGATGATATGTATTTGATATGTAATTCAGGAATTTGTCTCTTTCACTTTATTTAATGGAATCGTTTATCCATTAGGTTTTTTTAAGTTGAAACAAGCAAAAAAGTAACAATCCAAGAGTTTTGCTGAGCCTTTGGGAATTTCATGACAGTACGTATGAAATAAGCAAATTTCACCTGAATACTGTGAAACTGGTTGAGCTGCGACAGAACTAAGTAAGCTGCAAATTTGCCTAGAACTATAGACAAGCAGAGAACTTGGGCGTTATGTTCACTTTGCATGGCTGGTACATTTGCATTCCAACAATGTGTGGTTAAAAGCATAATAAGATGTAGTCTTCAGAGATTCGTAGGCGCCTAAAGAGGGTAAAACGTGCAAGAGGAAAAGTAAAATCTGGTATTTGTAACTAGAAGTTGATTGTTTAATCTGAGGAGAAGGATAAAGACTCTCTATTGTTTTGTTTCAGAGTTCGTCAAGGTCAGCACAAGCTCCTTCACCCTGTGTTGGAAAGTACGTATTATTTTTTATCTCCTTTTCCTGTCCAAACTGGAAATGCCATTGTTAGAAAGCTCTAAAATCTTTATTTCTGTGCACGGTGAACCAGCAATCCCATTTTGTCAGATGAAAATCTTTTAATCTTGAACAGAACAGTAACCTCTAAAAATTAACAAGAAAATGGCAAAGAATAAATATGGGGGGGCGGGAATAAAGATACTGTGGCTTGGTGGACTGATAGACATATTGAAGAAACCCAGAAGGTCGAACTGTAAAAACCTTGACTCGGAAGGCCCTTATCTTTCGGGGGAAAAAGAAGCGACGCCAATTTCGCTCATTTCGTAGCGTTTGAGGGTCTGAAGGCCCGTGTTTGTCGTTCTTCAGGGCTACCGGCACAGCCTCTCCAATGTCGCCCATGCCCTCTCCAGCCAGCTCCAGCAGCTCGGGGCCCGGCTCCAATCACAGCACTGGCACGGGCGCCGCGACGACGGTCGCCATCCCTCAGGTCATCCAGCAGGTGGCCTCCTCCTACGTCAGCATCACGGCCCTCTTCCTCAGCGCTCACGAGATCTGGGAACAGGCGGAAGCTCTGGGGCACAGGAGTCGCGGTAAGGCCCCCGGACAGCGCTGCTGGCGAGGAGGCAGCGACTTCCAAAGGTGTCTCCGCGGTGGTGTTGCACAGTGAGGTGGTTTAGCCTGGGTCAGAGCTTGAGCTCGCAGTGTTTAGAACGGGCATATTTAGTTGGACAAGGAACTCGACACTTGTCTCCTTCCATCCTTCTGCGCCTTTGTGTACCAGTACCTGGGAGGCAACAATGTCCTATTCCTGATGAGGCAGCATGCGCTCAGCACCTGAGCGTTTTAAACGATGACAAAGACCAAGTGTGTAGTTAGACACTGCATTCTTTTTGTTTACTTATTGAGCAGTAAGACATCCTACAAAACAGAAGACAAGTCTTCTCACTGAAGGTTTTCCTCTTTTTTACATTGTTCAGAAGGACAGAGAAGTATTTTATAGTGATTTGTTTCTTTTGCAGTCAGATTTTCCCTAGTCAGCTCTCTCATGTACAGTAGTGTATTGCAGATCCCAAACACAAGTTCATTATCGGGGAATCTGAAACCTTTTTAGATTCAATCTGAAAAACAGCATGGCAGTGAAGATGTCAGACTTTTTTAAAACAATAAGCATCCACTTATTTGCTTGGATGACTTGATTTTTCAGTTTTTATAAAAAATTACAGCTATGCTGTATTTTCCATCAGTTATGCATCAACATCGTTTTACATTTAATTGCATACTGTTGCATAAACTAATGTTACTAGAGATTACAGTATTGAGATTAATCCGTATTTGGTGCACCCCATACTCTGTGCATGATCTACTACTGTACATCTAGGGTTGTGCTATTTTTTTATGATATACTCCATTATACTTTATATTGAAGTACTCCATTTTTTGTCTAAAGCTTTTTATCCCCCTTGCAAATGATTTTAATTCAAACATTAAAATAAGACGGACCATGAGCAGGATAGTAAATAGTGGTGATTTTTTTTTCCCCCTCTCTCCAGGGCTTCTTGAGGAGCTCAACTCCGCAATGGGCCCACTGAGCCTCACCTCCAGCATAAGAGACCTGGTGCGTCACACGAGACAGGGCCTGCAGTGGCTGAGGCTGTCGTAGACGACAGGCCCTCTGTCCGTGTGTCGAGGACGCTGCTGGAAAACCGCCCTGACCAGTTTGCACTTAGGCAGCCAAGTAAACAAGTTGACAAACGAGCCCCTTTTTTCCCTCTATTGACTGAAGTGCGAGAGAGAGAGAGAGAGACACAGCAGCAAGCCTGTCTTCACCTGCGTCTCCACAGCAGACACCAGATAGAGCTGGGACAAGCAGAAAATCCACCAAGCGATCTTTTTAAGCATTCTCTTCTCCCATTACAGTATTTTTTTTTTTTTGCTCCTCTGGAGCTGAAGAGGGGATCTGTACAATTCCTTGCCCTTGTGGCTTCCCTTGAACAAACGGCAGCGACGTTCGAACTGTGCTTTTCATCCCAGCGGCGATCTCCACCCAAGGCGTGTGCCAGTCGGGCCCTGGCTGAAGCTCCAGCTGTGTGCAGAGTCGAAGCTGCACGCCCATCTCTCACCAGCTCGCAATGCAGCGGCTGAAACATCGGAGAAACGGGCAGATTGTTGCGGTCGTGCTAAAGATGCCTCAGAACTACAGCTGATTTCCTGCTGCCTTTCGCAGCAGGTTGTGCAATTGAATATTCCACTGGCGGGCACAGATGTTTTAACATAACTTGGGGCACTGGGGTGGTGCTTGGGGTTGTGCCAGTCACTGCATTTTGGCTTTTACTGCACTAGCCTGGAAAGGTCTCCTGAATCTGGGTGGCACTAAACGGTGCCTTTGTTAGAGCTCATCGTGTATTTTAATTAAATTCGTTACTGGAGGCAGAGGCTTGGGCTGGCACTTTAGAAAACATTAATTGCTTCATCGTATTCTTATTCTTGGGTGCCATTTTTTTTTTCCGCCACAGTAATGCTGCACATCAAAGTCTTATTTTTTTAGTTTTTTAAAAAAAATTAAAATTGCCACTTTATGAGCAATGCTGGCTTCCTCAGAAACTTGGAAAATATATGTGTTTGCAGTATAGGACCTTGATCATGCATCCTCTAAGGTTGTTGCCAGTACCCATCAGTCATGTACACTCATTCATAAATCTGAAAATCTCTGCTGTTTCTCCTTTGTAGTTCATAAGCAGAGCTTGTTAGTTCAGAAATGAAATTGGACAAGTGATGAGTTTTGTTTTGGGTTTAAGGAATACCTTTTGCATGTTCCAAATGGAGCTCTCTATAACCACTGCATTAGAGAGTTAAAACATTAGGATTTCTAGTCCAGGGAATTTCGATGAGGAAGATGCATTGTAACTTTGGAGTAATAAAAGCTTGTGAGGGGAGATGTTTTTTTTCCCACGCTTGGAGAAATGAAGGTGCTTTTCTTGTAAGTGTTGTGAGAAGGATTACATTTATTTTTTTTTGCTTTCAGTTCAATTTCAGAGATGTAAAAACCCCAAACATGAGACCTGTTCCTCTTCTGTGTTCTTGTCTCCCATCTGATACCTTTCTCGTAGAACCACAGCACCCTCACTGCATTCTGTAGGCCAAACACCCAGTTTCGAATCGGTCCTTTAGTGAACACAACTGTTCAGTTGCTTGTATCCTTCAATATATAAGAGAAGCGGCCTGCTGTTAAAGTCAGAATGTTGCATATTCTTTCCTTGCTGCCAGGAGAAAAGATTGTAGGAAACTGAAAAAATTGAGCCTTTCCTGAGTATCTCCCATCTTGCAGAGGTTGAGCTGGTACTCACTTTTTTGTGTGGCTGATACACTGTGGTGCCTTGGATAATTTAAAGCTGTTCATGTAGGACTCAGATATTTATTTATTTTTATCCCAGGAGGTACAGTAAGACTGCATTATTTTAAGAAATATTATCGGGTCTCAGCTATTTCCTCCATATCGTTTGCTGCCTTGTCGGTAGGGGAACAGTTAGCAATTCAAGTCGTGGGAAGCTGTTGGACGGAAAGGTAGTCGAAGGTTTGAATGCAGGTGTTTCCTCAGTCTGATCCAACACCGATACCTTTGTGAGAAAGGGAATTCATCCTTCTGCGTTTCCACTTCCCTGCCACGGTTGCTGTCGGGTTTGGTTTATGAGAAAACTTGCCAGGAAGAGATTTCAGGAGTCGCCTGTTCAAAGAACCGAAGGGGTTACCTTTTTTTTTTTTGTCGTCGTAGGGATGTGAAAAGATAAGGTTGCGGGACCCACATAATGTGCGATTTTGTTTTGCTCAAACTTCTGCCTTTGAAGTTCGTTTGTGTTATCAGGAAACAACTCTGCTTCGTGGGGACCTGTTTCTCTTTCCTTTTGTTCAGGAAAACGGGGGCACGGCAACACTATCCATCACGGCCATGAGGAAGAGATGAGAAGTAGAGATTGAATGCGCTGACTCCGGCACATTTTTTTATTTTTTTTTTACCCTCACGGTTAGTGGCTGCTCCTTCATTAAGCCAGAAGAAATGGAGCGTGGCGGCTAGCTTGAGTTTCCTGGAAGCAGGGCTGGGTGTGGACAGGCGTGCGATGGAGGGGGGCAGTCTAAATTGGAGGCTTGAGGAAGCCCGAAGCTGGATGAGCGCAGGCAGGGAATCGCTGGTTTCAGCACCAGATGGGACCCCCAGTTGCACTGCTGATTCAGCCCCACCTGGCTGGAACTGGTTGGGTGGGGGGTGGCTTGTGCTTTGGGGGGGGGTGCGAGTCAGAGCCCCAGTGTAAGGTTGTGGTTCCCAGTGTAACTGCACATCATCGCCCCCTTGTGGTGGCCCTGTGGGCCAGGATTTCTCTTGTGCTAGCGCCGAGGTGCAGCCATGACAGTGAGAGAACGGGTCATTTGCTACGCAGGGTGAAAGCTGGCAAGGCTTTTAAAGTTCACTTTCTCTTCGGTCCAACTCTGCCAGGTTTCCAAAGAACTGGAAACATTTTGTGGAAAAGCTGTCTGACAGTCTGTCACCATGAATAGAATATCACTCTTTTCACTAAAGCAGTATTTTTAACATTATGGGAAATCTGCCTCCATTCCACTTTCACCTCCCAGGATCCTGGATTTTTATGCTTGGACCTTGCATGGTCACAGCAGAGTGATACAAGGTCTGCTCTTAAATTTGTTGGGCTTTACAGAGTTTAATCATTAAATTGACTATTTTTAGTAGGCCAGATTTTGAACATTATTATTTGTTTTGGGCCTGATTGCAGTGCAGCTGTGAGCTCTAACAGTCCTGCTAATCAAGAATTTGAACAAAACATGGTGGTAGACTGCCTAAATAAGAGTGCCTGCACCCATCTTAACGTCCTGCAAACCTTTTGTACTTTAATTCAGAATATGTTCAAATATGAAAATTATATCACCAGTTTGGAAATTACAAAAAGATTTAGCATCCATGAAAAGAGATCAGACTGTGACAATCCTATGATGTCCTGGTTAATGTAGCCTGGAGCAGTCTGGCTCCTGTTAGCTGTTTTTTTTTTTCTTTGTATGATTTGCAAGGTATTATATAGACAGATATTTAATTTTATTTGTGGATATATTTATTTTCTTTTTTTTTGTTGGCAATGTTATGACCAAATAGGGCTTTTCTTTATTTATTTGCCTGTTTCTCCTCTCCTCTTTCAGAGCAATTTACAGTCCACATGATACAAAATTCCCAGTATGTTAAGACTTTTGTATTAGATGAGTTAATGAAGCAGTATTTTCAGCTTTTCTCCAATGTGTCTTAAAATTAACCAGTACAATCAAGCCAAGTATCGAAACGTTGTAACTAAACTGTGATAAGTCTGATCACTGTCTCTGTCAGTGTTTTTGTAGATATCATTGAGAAATCTTAACTGGGAAGCACTCAGTTCTGCTAGGAGCTACATGTGTTCCTCAACATAGTAATTTGTTTTCATTTTATCATAAGGGAAGAAACAAGAAGTGTTTTGTGATGAAGACTAAAAAAATAAGTTGAATAAAGTGGCCAGTCCAGACAGTCATACTCAAACATTGCATTAAGCCAGTTTACCAATAGTGTGATCAATGCGAGAGAACAAAACAATAGATCATTCACATTGCAAGCTTGTTTTTAAAGTTAGACTTCTTGGTTATTGTGGGTTTACTGGAGAGACATTTTTAATAATAATAAAAAAAGCTTCAGGGGTTTTGAAGAAGCACAAAAGCAAAGTTTAATTTTGTAAGAACTATATTTTTTACTGAACGATATTGGATGGTATAAAATGATGTGAGTATAGAGGTACAACAGCTTTTAGGTTTGTTATTAATGTGGATTTTCCCAATATGGATTCTTTCCATTTTTGCTTAAACATACCCTTTGCTTTTCCTAAGTTTGTACTCCTTCAGTGTACAAACAATGGCCAATTCTGCTTCATAATATAAGGAGGGTACCTCATGTGTACTGTGTGATGTTTCTGTATTTATGGTACCAGCAAAGCTGCAAAATAACATTCTCCTCCTCTTTCTGTATTCTGCCTAGATGCCCTGTCTGATAACTCTCCCTCAGAATGGGACTGTAATGATTAAGAACCTAATCATCTTTCATATTTTCAATCAATGAAGACTCCCGAGTCTACCGCAGGGAAAAATTGCATTTTTAGGTTCAGCAAAACTGATGGTTACGTGCTATGCAGCATTAGATAGTCTCGGTGAATGTGCTAGCTTCATATCACTTTTGTGTGGATATACTGTTGTACACACTGCGTGTGTTTGTATTTCTCTTTACATACATACTGTGTATTTGCTTATGTTCGTGTAGGAGCATGCGCAAATACATCTATAAGGGCTTTGAAGTCAAGATATTTACACAGTAACATACTGGGAAAATGTGCAAAAAAGTTTTGTTTAGCTCTTTCCAGTTTTCCTTCGTGAACTTACGTAAATAATTTGAGCTATCTTGTACAGAGATGTAGAAACACTACTATTGCTGATTCATTTTCTTTTACTTTGAAAAATGCCTCTTTTTTTCCAAAGAAGCTGTTCTGCAGATTGTTTTGCTTAGCAGCTGTTGTTGATGAAGATAAACGGTTGTGAAAGAAATGGGGTAAATGGGTAAACTGTCAAAATCCGCCCTCTTTCAACCAGGACTCAATGTATTTTGAAATACTTCAATGGACAATAAAATTGGGGAAAAAATCTGTTTGTGGCTTTTTTCTGATTCTTTTATTAATTTGAAATTCACTGTTTGTTCCATACACGTTTTGGCATGCATTAGTAGAGCTGAGTGTCTGAAAGTAGAGCAGTCTGAAAGTGCTTTTCTCTTGGAGTTAATCAGAACTAAACTGATGTAAATGGACTGTTACACTACCAGGGTTTGTGATGGAGTGTCTATACAGGGAAAGTTATTTTCAGTACATAGACAATTCGCTAAGAGCACTTTGTAATAAAAGGCCTATTAAACATTCTTTCGAGTTACTTTAGTGAGTACTGTATATGATTTTTTTTTCAGCCCATTGGATTTTATCTTTTGGTTTAATAACTCCTTGCTATTAAGAACATACGTTCTGAATGAAAGGAGGCCATTTGTCTTGCTCATTTGGTTTGTTGGTAGACCATTGATTTAAAGGATTTCAGCCAGAGACCCTCAACCCCATGGCTGAGCAGTCTGTTCTAGACTCCCACAACCCTTCGTGTCATCATGTGCTTCCAGATTTCAGATCTAGATGCTTTCCTGTTTCATCACCACTTATGAGGCGGTGGGTGTCTCTGTGTCTGGAAGGTTGCTGGTTCGTATCCTGCGGCCGGCGGAGGAACCCTACTCTGTTGGGCCCCTGAGCAAGGCCCTTAACCCCAACTGCTCCAGGGGCGCCATATACTGTAAATGGCCGACCGTGCGCTCTGACCCCAAGCTTCTCTCCCTGTCTGTTTGTCTCATGGAGAGCAAGTTGGGGTCTGCGAAAAGACAAATTCCTAATACGAGAAATTGTATATTGCCAATAAAGTGATCTGATCTTATATCCTCATATTATTGATGCACTTGGTGATGAAGTAGTGTGCTGGATTGACTGGCATTTCTGGTTTTAAATACTTCTGTTCAGTTTCAATATCTTCTCTGTTCAAGCCTTAAAGAGTTGGATATTTTTCAGAGGACAGAAAGGAACCTTCCTGGAATAGATTCCAGAGCAACCCTGTCCATTCTGTAATGTGGTTATCAAAACTGTGTAGAGACAGCATTCTAAAAAGTGCTTTTGCCAAAGGTTTTGCATCGTTACCGTCACTTGACTGGAATTCTGTGCTGCTTCTAACATATCCTCCAATTTTCCACGCCCATTAGAAAGCAAAGGGGATGGTCTGCTCAAGCAATTGTAAGACATATTTGAATGACGAATTTGATTTTACAGAAGTATACCTCTATATCGAGCCATTTCGGAAGAAAGCATGAACAGAAAAGGTTAGTGTTCAGAAGATGCAAAACTCACCCTGCTGGTCACTTTTAGGCATTGTCATTTTCATGGAAGTGGGGTTTTCCACTTTTTTACGAGGACTTGTTAAGCAGATGTGATCTGTGATATTTGTATATTTCTTGGCATTTAGCAGCTTAACTGCTTGTTCCAGAGCTGCCAGAGTTGGATCCTGGTTTGAACTCCATATGCAGGCCAATATTTTTGCCACCCAAGCCAAAAGTTCCCTGCCCTGCTAATCCAGTCCTCCTCACGTTTTTTCCACTTTTGTATTTTATAGCGCTGGATGGCTCATGCTTCATTTGAGAATGCTGGTTTAGCACATGGTTCTGTCAGGCCTGCAACTTAATGGGAGTATTCAAGGAACAGCAGTAAGCCCAAACAACTTTCCATCGGCAACAGAGCCAGAAAGCGCTTGTCTAGATCCTTGAAAATACTTACACAGTATGACTTCCAGACCTTGTAACTTACTGCGTATAATGCTATATGATCAATAAATTCTAGCTCATGTTTCCTCCACCTCCTCCATTGTACAGAGAATATTTACGCAGCCTGAGAATGCCAGGTTCAGCAGAGCAGTGCTAATGGTTGCAAAAAACAAGAGGCAAAAATTAACCTCTGAAATGTTTTTTTTTGATATGCCAAAGAATGAGATGAGGCGTTTAAGACACTGCTTGAGAAATGCTGTGTGTGATAGGATTTCTAAGATGTACTGTTAATACCATTATACTGTAAAATGCCTGCCAAAAAAAGAGATAGATATAGTGTCTCCAATTAAAATACTCACTTAAGGGTGTAGGGTTTGTTCTGTGTGCTCTGTACAGGCCGAGAAGAGAGAGGGACATCTGTTGTATGGAATGTATGCAGGGAGAGTGTGACATTCCAGAGCAACTGGGAGAAAATCTGTGTGGGTTGCAATATACAGTATATGCGCCTTTCCAAAAGATAACATTAATGGTAAAACGAGAGTGATTGAGGCTGTACACAGGAGAATACACTTTGGACTCTTCATGAGAAATAAAAACTCATTTGAAACCTTCATGAGAGGCCATGACCTCTTGCATAACCTACAGGAGCAAAGCTGGGTGTGCAGCTGTCTCTGTTTTTTTAAACGTTTGAAATCGGAAGATTACAGTTATGTGAAAATTTTGAAAAGATTAAAACCCAATGGGTAACTTTGCTGTTACTCCTCTGAAGCACCTGGTATTTTCATGAATGCAAAAATAATCAAGGCATTATATTAGTGGAGTGGTTTGTATTCACAAACAAAGAAGCACCAAGCCAATATGTATTAATTTATTATCACAAAAGATTTTTTGATACTTAACAGTTTATACTTTATCTGAAACAATTCACTAGGAATACAGTAGATACACCGGACTAAGGCACTCTATCAATAGGCAGTAGAAAAAGTTATCCCAGTTACAGCTGCATATTCACTTAAAGCTTAAAAAAATTCAATATTTAATTCACATCCGTTAAATCATCTTTTTAAGTGGGGCAATATAGTGACAGTCGGTGTAAAACAAATCATTAAGGCGTCTTGCATCTATGATGTTACTGTGATGCCTTGATCATTGGTCATTTGTTTCAAAACACTGTAACCTTGCTGTTAATTTACAGTGGGTTTCTGCAGGCAGGTGGCCAGGAAGCCTCAATCCTGTTATCTATCTGTCGAAATTAGGATTGCCAAAAGAGGGCTGTAAATATAAACATGACAAAATCAGACAGATTTTATGTCCTTGTGGTTTTTGGGAAAATTAGCTTCTTGGGAAATGTTTTCCTATGTCAAAACATTCAAGCACATTTAGTTGTTTAGACTTTAACTGTAAAAGCACAGGTTTTTCTACATAATCTACACAAAAAATGCTGAAGAAAGAGAAAAATGAATACATTCATTTGATGTTAGGGCAACTTTAAAGTACCACTAGGAATATGTGGTGCTGTGCTTGATCTAATTTCAGTAAGACACAGATGCTACCGGAGTTGGTCAAATCTGGCATCTGAGTTACTGCAAGGTGACATGGGCCTGTCACAGCCCTGGGACTCCACATGTAATTTCATCCAGGAATTTGAAGAAATATTAAGACGCTAGGAAAGTGATCCAACATATTTTGTACAGATACTGCCTCTACACAAGCAGATGCACTCATCCAGGACTCACCTCGCCGCTGACATGTGGAAATGACAGATGAACCCCCTTGATTTTGAAGACGTAGAACAGGATGCCAGCTATCAGAGCAATGCCTAGAATCACAGCAATGACCACAGCTGTGACTACTCCTGCATCTGAGAACAACAGCACAGAAAGAGCAGAAGAAAGGTTAGAAATGAGAGGAGACCGTCCACCCCCCATTTGGATGCTCATTCCAAAGATCTCATCCAGCCATTTCTTGAAAATAGCCAGTGTATCGGTTTCCACAACATGTATCTTGTTACCATGTTCCATATCCACGAGCCTTTGCAAATTTAAACTGAGCAGGCCACCAGCACCTGGTTAATCCTTATTTGCCCTGTTGTTACATTATTGGACCTTAAATTATTGTATGAAGGGGCAATATTTAGAAACGGAAAGCTTCACAAATCCAAAATCTAAGGAATACAAAGTGAAGGACAACGATGATCACCAATATATGATGGATGCATTCAGAAGGAATCTGCCCGGATATAGAAATGGGAGTGATACAACCGAGTGACAGTGGCAACACCACCATCCATCCAGCAGGGGGGGCTGAAGAGCTGAATTTTACAGAACGGGAACAGGGGGATCTGTAATAGATAAAGCTATACAAAATGACGGTGATCTGCATGATACTGTATA